ATACAGGAACTATTCAAGCCGTTCATGCCAGACTGGGGAGAGAGGTATTGTAATAATGTAAAATATGTGAAAAATTATGTGTTTTTCGAACAACCTAGTATGAGAGTCTGTTCTAGTACACCCCCAAAACAAAATCAAGACTTTGTAAAAGAGCATAATAGGACCCCTTTAAATATGATGTGCTGATTTAAAAAAAAAAAAAAAAGTACCAAATTATGATGCATTTCATAGCATTTCTGCTTTCGACTCCCATTTGTGTGTCGAAGAAGTCTTGTACGCTCCCTTAATCAGCAGAAAACAGCACAAACACATGATTCCTGTCGGAATCTGAGCCAGATTAACTATTTGAACAATTCTTGACCCATTTTCACATTACACTATTTTATTTCTAGTCCTGATTTCAAGATCAGATTTACTGTATGGCCAGTGACAGAAAATGCAAACACGATCCAGATGTTTTCAGCCTTTACTGTTGTTTAAAATAGTGTTCCTCTTCTTTGCAGATTGTAAGTTAAATGATCGTTTTAAATAGTTATTTTTGTCATTAAAAAATTACACTTTCTGACATTTGACTGTTATTTTGACAAGTGCATTAAAGCTGATATTTAAATATAATTTGAAAAATCTTCATTCTAGTTTTGTGAAAAAACAGGACATGATGGAAGGTGTTTATTAATATTTTAACTCATTTAACTCATCAAGCTCAACTCAAACTGCATCATCAAATTAAGTCATATTAGGCATTTTTTGCAAAGCAGCAGAATTATTATTATTATTATTATTATTTTAATGCTGGGCTGTGTTAAAAAATAATTGGATAAATGCCACAAACACAAAACACGAATAAAAATGCAGATCTAAAAATACAAATGAGTTTAGCATGTCACACTCTTAGCTATTCTGACACACTATTGCCAACTTTTTCTCTTTTCTTTCCCTTTTTTCTGTGTATTAATGCTGAAAATCTATCTTTTTATAACGCAGAAGTGCCACGCGGAATAACTGAACATGACAGTAGTTCCACACTTATACTATACATGTAATTAATGACTAACCTCTCCTAACTTCCACGCCTGACAGATGTCGACCTATAAATATCTGAGCATTAATCACATGATATGCATTAAATCAAATTAGAAAGCCTTTGACAGTAACGATCACCGGCTGTGTCACAAGAGTCAGTGACACTCCACACGTATGTGTTGCTTTACTGCATGTCATTAACACACTCAGACTGACCTTTGCTCCAGCAGGACCGGCTGCTCCATCGCTTCCAGTGAGTCCTGGTTTCCCCTGAAGAAACACAAGAGTTTCTCAGGACCATTATGACACATTTTTAGAGGATACCATCTGGTCAAATATCATTTCTGGCATGTCATATAACATCAAACTACATTACCACTGGACCAGGCTCTCCAGGAGGTCCTTGTTCTCCTTCCCCCCCTTGCTCTCCCTGTTTAAAAATACAGGTGAAGTTCAATATCATGCTTGTTTTGACAGCTTACAATTTATGAATAAGGGCTTTTCACTGTATAGTATGGTCACAGTAGTATATAGTAATTTACAATCTATATTAGAATGACATTTAAAGGGATAGTCCAGCCAAAAATGAAAATTCTGTCATCATTCACTCACCCTTTCTTTATTCTGTGGAACTTAACAGAAGATATTTTAAAGAATGCTGGTAACCAAAAGGTTTTGGTTCCCTTTGACTTATTTTTTAGCAAAATTTTCATTTTTAGATGGACTATCCCTTTAATTGTCACTATGAATTGTCTTTATGTCCCTTTACTTTCTCCCAAAATGGCATGGCTGTAATGAATCTTGAAATTGATAATTTTCCTGATTTATTCTTAAGGTTATTACCATTGTATTACCCATTGTAATATCACTGTATCAAAAAAAAAAAAAGTAATGTAAAATCAAATAACGCATTACAGTATTTTTTACTGTAAATTTGAACTACAGAAAAATTACTAGTCCAGTGAGAACATGTAATACAATAATTTCTTATTTGAATAAGCAATAATCATTGTACAACAAATATTACCAATAATGTATGCACTTTACAGTTTAATTTATGTCGATAACCATTTGATTTAACAATGAGAATTAAAGTTGGGCATAATTTATTATTTGTTTCCTCTGATTTTGGAGTGAAATATTATATACATATGCTGTTATTAATAAATATTGTTACCTTTTTTCCTGGCAATCCAACTGTACCAACGTTTGGTTTTGATGCTCCCTGAAACAAAAAGACAATTAGTTTCCATGTGTGCTGATAACTATAAAAAAACAGCTTATTGAAATAAACCGGTTTACATGCAAACCAATGACCTGGCAATGTAAGAAAACCACAACAATGTAGCTGTGTCAGTCGGTTTATGCTTAAGCTGTTTATAACTTTACGGCAATAAAGGAAAATGGTTGTTGATTTATTAAGGATAACCAGTGCATGTAAATGCACAAAATGTTTTACACAAAAGTAGATTTTCCTAACGACTTTGTGTTTGTGTTTGTCTCCAGTAATGCATTTGGCTCTTCTTCACTTGCTGTGTGTAGTTTGTATAAACAAATGCATTTGTGGCCAGTGCGTTTGATGGCGATTGTCAGGCTCTTCCTCTGTCAAACGCTTATAAAGTAAGCATTGAGCCGTTTACACAGGGAAGCACTGGTTTGCATAGGCCTGGCAGAGGGTTTGGAAAGAGGCTCCAATTATTTCAGCTCTTACCGTGGGTCCTGGCGGCCCCGGTTTCCCTGGCAACCCTTGTTCTCCTCGTTCACCCTGGAAATAAAATAGACCGAATGTGACTCGCAATAAAGGAAAGGAAAGAGTCTGCTCACTGAATTACATCTACAAACTGGTAATTAGGATGCTAGATTGAGAACACCACGCTCCACCAAAGTGGGAAGAGGCTCTATTCCTGCCAAATGGTTGTTTCATATAAATTTGAGAATGAGCATCTGAAAGCATCTGCTTGCTTTCCAAAAATTATTTTGCTAGGAAGGGTGTGAAGTGCGGATGTTTTTTTGATTAATTTATTCCAATGCAAGACTCACTTTTAAACCCTGAAGTCCTGGATCGCCTCTCAGCCCCGGTGGACCCACATCGCCCTAAGAGAGAGGAAGCAAAAAACACAACGTTACACAAGAGATAAAGCGGCATGCTTAGCAATGTAGGACCCTATGAAATCCATTATTTGTTTTCCGTTTTAATTTTTCTGGATTTTTTTTATATTTCTGAACTCTATTTTAATGGTTAAATTAATTTTAGTAATGAAAAAGCATGTATAATTAATTGAACTCATGAAACTTATTCAATGTAACAATAATTTAAAAAAATATATATGTAACTAATTACAATTTTTAGGGCACTGAGAAATTTGTTATTTTTTTCTCTAGTTTTTATTTTTTATTTTACCAAATTCTGTGTGTTCCATTTACATTTTTCTGGATTCCATCTTAATGCTTTAATTACATTTTATTACTTTATTATTATTTTTATTATTATACTTTATTTTTTAGAAATTATGCGTTGTGAATTAAATTTTTTCTGGTTATCAAATGAAGGCATGAAACATTAATTTCTCTTAATCAAATAAAAATTAAACAAACCCTTTCTTCTTTTTTTTAAAACAAAGCTGCACAACAGACGTTTACTGTTAAAATTAAAACATGGAAGAAAAATTGTGATCATTTCTTTTTAAAAAAAGTGTTAGTAGCATTATTGCATTGAGACGTTCATTCTACTAATAATCGTTTGATAGCACGGTTCAATAGACGCTTATTTATGATCGGACACAGCCCTCCATCCTTCTTCAGAATGATGAAGTAACGGCTGTAGAACCATGATTCTCGAGAGAGAGAGAGAGAGAGAGAGAGAGAGAGAGAGAGAGGAGGATCACGTTCTAATGCCTCCTTCCTCAAGAGAGTTTTTACTTCTTGTTCCAATACCAGAGCCTGCTCGGGGCCCACTAACATAGGAATAACCCCGTTGAAGCGAGGTGGACGAGAACCGAACTGAATTCTGTAACCCTGAACTCTCTACAGTGTGCAGGACCCATTGTGAGACATTTGGCAGAAGTTTCCACGCTGCCAGAAAGTCTACTAAGGGAACCAGTCTGGCCTCTGGTGTCACTAGAGGAGCCACTTCGGTGCCCTGAAGCGAATGACTGGCAGGGAACGACCGACCTGACTGCTCTAGCGCCCTCATCTGAGGGGACGAGCTTTTTTCTTAGACATAATAACGGTTCGAGGACCCCGACTGAGAGCGCAGCTCCGCCCACTGGTCTTTCTGCGGGGGAGTGTGGGTCACGATGCTCTGTTTCTGGGTCTGGCGATATGAGGAGCCGGACGGCTGGGACTACTCCTGCTCAGCAGTCCCAAAGACCTGGGAACGGCAAGGGAGGAAGCGCATAATATCCACAGACACTAGTTCATAACACCATTTGATTTAACTGCACTGATCTACTTTGATTTATTAATTCAAAATTTGAGAAATTCCATGACATTCCGCATTATACACTAAATTCCATTTTTATGTCTGGATGATGCACTATTGTCCATGTTTTCTGCATCACAGAAATCACAGGGCCCTAGCAATGGATTCAAACTGTAAGAACATCTCACCTTTTCTCCAGATATACCTGGATCTCCTGGCTCTCCTCTTGAACCTGTGGGTCCCTTTATTTACAAAGCACATATTTTTGTGTGTGTGATGTAATTAAATAAGCAATGGCAGTAAATCTAACATTACTAAATAAGTTACTGATTATGATGAACCCTTCAGATTTTCGGGGTGAAAGTCGTCATAGTTGGGTAAACTTCTATAACTGTGAACAAAAACTACAACAAATATAATTTTCATATTCACATTTCCTGCAATAGCAAACAGAAAAAATCCAGCAAAAAAAAGATATCAAATTTGCAGTCACTCCCTCAGCCATGGTATTAGAAACACTCGCGCAGCAGCGTTAACTAGATTTGTGTAATTTAATGCCAAGGTAAGAAAACTAAATATATGGAAGACTTTATATATAAAATTGCCTTTTTGCTTCAGACTTTTCTTCTCAGAATTGCGTGTTTACATCTTTGCAATTCTGACTTTATATTACACTTCTTTTTTCTCTGAATTGTAAGAAAAAAAGTCTGAACTGTGAAATAGGGATGGTGTAGGGATTATTTAGACTTGATTACAACACGCTTTATGAAAGTAGGAAATCTGTTGAGGGTTTCTCTCTCTCTGTTCTTTTTACATTTCTTAATTTTTAAATGAAGTCTACAGAAACATATCAGTGCTCATGGTTTATCTGATGTGTATTACCTGCTGATGATTACCATTACAAAAGTGCATAGCCTATTCAAGATATTTAACAGATTTTTCAGTATTTAATAAGGAATTGTTGGTCAGAAGTACTTATAACATTAAAAAGACCAAGTCCCACATCACAGTCAATCAGATCACAGCTATAATACAACACAGTTGTGTTTTGTTTTCTTACCACAGAGTAGATTTCACATGCTGTCTCTCGCTCACTTTGCTGTGGGTCACAATAAAGCCTCAGTTTCTGGATTTCTGTCTGCGGTGGTCAGTGAGAAACGAGGAAAAAAACATTTAGGTTTCTCTAAACAGCAATTATAACAAACAGATGACTGAGCTGTAATGTCCATATCAATCACTATTGTGTGATGTTAGTTTATTTAAGCAAAAGTGGCAAACGACTACAAGCCATCTGCATTGTAGTTAAAAACACAGATATGACTGTTATTGACCCCGACAGATATGACGTGGCCAGATACGACAGGCCACGACTTCCCCACAATTATGAAAATTATTAGTAATTATGTTACTTAGTTACTTTTTATGGAAAGTAACGTGTTATGTTACTTTTGAGTTACTAGGGCATGCTTGTTTGTTTTTAAAGTAAAAAAAAAAGTTATTCTTTTACAAATGTAAAAGCCCTTTCACACCAAAAGTGTTTTTTTTTAATTATATAATAAATAAATAAAAAACAGATAGAATAGAAAAAGAATAGAGCAAGCTAGAGTTAGAGACCTTTTTTTTGCTTTTTGTTAATTTAATTGTATAATAAATAAAAAGAAAACAAATAGATAAAATACAAAGAGAATAGAACTTTACTAGTTACTTGAAAAAAGTAGTCTGATTACATAACTTGCGTTACTTGTAATGTGTTACCCCCAGCACTGATCCGTACTGTACTTTACTTTGGCTGCCAGTAATATCCAGTGTTCAGTACTACAGGAAGTTACTAACAGGAAGTGTAGCGTCAGAGCCAGAGCGTTTGGAGATCTGAGTCTTCCCGTTGATGTAGATGGGTACCACAGCATCCAGAGCCTCATCCTGGATCTGCTGGTCATCCAGAAAACAGGAGACACGTCTGGGTCTAACCAGAACCTTCAGCTGGTGCCAGCTTCCATCAAAAAGAGCCTGCGGGACGTTTCAGACTTTGAGAAATGGCTTTGTGCTGGTTGAAGACACATTGAAAAGATAAATATAGACTAAGGTGTGCGCAAATACTCAATTATTTCATTTGACATAAATGTCACAAGAGTCTGACAAATTTCCAGAATAAGCTGTTCTGCATGAATGAGGCGCTGTGATGGAGGAAAATGGCTCTTGGCAAGACTCGATTGTGCACGAAACATCACACAAAACCACTTGCTTTTGGCATTAAGAGCAGAGGAAGACATGGAACAGGTACAAGATGATAATTGCTGGAACAGAGAACACGAAAACATTTCTGAGAATTTGTAGTATTTATATGTATAAGTGAGGAGCTTTGGTGGAAAACGCGTCATGGGATTTTGAACAGGAAATTGCACAATACAGCCAAGTCACAGTTTTAAAAAGAAACGTGTCATAAAGCAGCTTATTTCTACATTCTGCTGTCGAAACGGGTGTATGGTTCAGAAAGGCAACTTCTGTTTAAGTAGCTAAAGCTGTTGCATTAGTGTAAGGATGGTTAATGACAAAATGCAGTGATTCACATTTGCATAAAAGGAGAATGTTCTATAAGTTGCTGGTAGATTTCACTCACCTCAGTGCCTTGTGCATCAAAAGTAACTATCTGTTCCTCATTAACCGTGTTTGTGGTAGTGAAGATGACAGATTTGTCCTGTCCGTTGAGTGTGACAGCCGCCTGAATCTGTCCATCTTTAGACAGGACCCTCCACAGGTCCAGCTTTTCCCGACTTGAAGGCCCTTTCAGCCTCAGAGTCGACACAAACACATAGGAGGGAGGAAGACCTTCGGGAAAAATCTCCCTTAAAACAAATTTAAAACATGTATTAGTCAGACATATTGCAGTACATAATTCTGCCGCATATTGCATATTCACAACCATCAACTTTATAAAATAATACATTTTTGGAGGCTCTAAAAAGTTATTTAAAACCACAGAATTCCCAGTAATTGCTTAGTAAACACATGCTAAATCTTCATGATTATCAAAATTAGGTGTAAAACCAACCTTGTGTTTTCAGTAATGTCGGTGCTCTTGTCTAGCAGATACGCTCCCTCTGACGCTAATGAGCCCTGTATCTTCTTCGCTTTCTGATGGATCTTCATGCCCAATATCAGCTCAAAGCCTTTCTCATCACGAGAAGCCACAGGAATACGTGTGGGGCAAACAGATTCTGCATGAGAACACATTGAACATGGTCATCAAAACATATTACACACACAAATTGCATCATAAGGACCAAGGTCTTCAGGATTACTAGAAACTTGCAGGCAGGTAATTTTGAATGAATGAGCACATTTGCACAGTGTTAAGAAATTCACTTTTAAAAGTAATGCATTACAGTATTGAGTTTCTCCATAAAATAGTAACTAATTGCATTACTTAGTTACTTTTTATGGAAAGTAAATAATGCATTACAGTATTGCATTTCTACATAAAGTAACTTACTGCATTAGTTACTTGTATAAAGTAATGCATTACAGTATTGTGTTTCTTCTTTAAAAAAGTAACTAATTGCGTTACTTAGTTACATTTTATGGAAAGTAATGCATTGCAGTATTGCATTTCTCCATAAGAAAAGTAGCTAATTGCATTACTTAGTTACCTTTTTTTGGCATTTTTGCCTTTATTATGACAGAACAGATCAGAACTGACAGGAAGCGAAGTGGGAGAGAGATAGGGGGCAGGATTGGGAAAGGTCCTTGAGTCGGGATTTGAATTCGGGACACCCGTAACGCAACCACGCTGTATGGCGCGCTGCTTACAAGGCTATCGGCACTTAGTTACTTTTTTATATTTTCTCCATAAGAAAAGTAACTAATTGCGTTACTTAGTTACTCGTAATGGAAAGTAATGCATTACAGTATTGCATTTATCCATAAAAAAGTAACTTATTGCATTACTTAGTTACTTTTTATGGAAAGTAATGGATTACAGAATTGCATTTCTTCATAAAGTAACTAATTGCGTTACTTAGTTACCTTTTTATGTAAAGTAATGCGTTACATTACTATTGCATTACTTTTTGTCACCTGTGATGACCTTGCTTATTTGTTTTTTTAATAATACAAGAACAAAATGTTCTATTTTGGCAACTGCAAAGGCTCTTTCACACCAAAAGTGAAATGAACAATCCTCAGGCTGATGGAAATAACTCCCGATATCTCTAAATACAGGGACAGGAGAGCTGTTAGTGAATACATGGGAAAACTAATTAATTTGCATTATTTATTTGAAAAAGTAACTCGGATATTTTATTGTAAATTAAAAAAGTAATGCAATACTTTACTAGTTACTTGAAAAAGGTAATCTGATTACATATCTTGCATTACTTGTAATGCGTTACCCCCAACACTGCTTTTGTGTTCCACAGACAAAAGTGTATCATATAATGATGGTAAGTCATAACAGTGTTTTCAGTTTGGGGGGAACCTACCTACATGAGTACCACTTTTGTACCTTTGACACCTTGCCCCGACTCATTTTGTGCCAAATGACAAGGTGTATGTTTGTAATTACTTTCAGTTGGAGAAACTACACGCCTGCCACTACTGACAACTGTCTGTCCAAACCAGAGCTGCCAGCTGCATTGGCACTGGGTAAAGCCACATCTGGTTCCTGTTACCATTCCCCCACAGTTCCTCCCTGCCATGGCATCATGCCGCTGGTTTGGCCCACAAGCTTTGTGGCTTTCCCTGTCACTGGGCATGAATGGACTGTGGTGTTTTAGCGGTTCGCTGTTCTTTTAAGATCCTGATAGAACTGCATGCCCAGGAGTGGACTGGTAATGCCAAAACCTAGTTTTAATGTGGTAAATGTTTATGGGAAGTCTCACATGCATGCGAATCTCACCCTCACACAGCTTCTGTTCCATAGCATCACGGATACGGTCGATATTGGTGTAGTCCTCCGCATACAGAACGTATTCACCCTCCGGCTTGTTGGCGATGGTCACCAGCTCTGATGTGGTGATCTCCGTCCCGACGCCCACCGCAAACACTTTAATCCCTTGTGCTCGTGACTCCACGCTAGCATCCATAACATCGTCCTGCGACTTTCCATCAGTCACCACCACAGCAATGCGGTTCTTCACTTCACTTCGTTGCGAAGATGCAAAGACGTGGTCCACGGTAAACTTGATGGCACGGCCCGTCTGCGTGTTGCCGCCTAAATAGCTGATGTCCTCAATGGCCTTAATGAGATCTTGAGTGGTCTTGTGGAGACCGAGAGGGATCTCCAACCTTGGGGTGTCGCTGTATTGCACTACACCCACCTGCGAGTAGTGCGAACTCACGTCAAGGCCACTGGTGACATTGACTAGCCAGCGCTTGGCTGTTTCAAAGTCGTCACTTCCCACACTCCAGGAGCCGTCCATGATGTAGACCAGGTCATTGACAGCAGTGCTGCAGCCTGCAAAATGAGGACAAGAACAGGGATAGAGCTAAATACCACAGAATGACAAATATCCAGTTCAAACGTTTACACCCCCCTGCCTTCTCGAGCCTCAGTAAATGTTTTCAACTTTTGTAATAGCTGTGTGTAAGTCACTCAAGTTGTTGTCAATGTGAAAATATGGATCTCAAAATCATACAATCAATGTTCGAAAAGGTTCAAATATGCAGAAGATGCTGGAAAACCAAAGAATTCACAGGACCTGGAGGATTTTTTCTGAAGAACAGCAGGTAGTTGAACTGCTTAAGACAATCAAAGGACTAATCAATGTCTATCACAAAACATAAAAGCAAATGTGGATCATCCAAGTAACGACACAGTATTAAGATTCAACTTTTGAATAGAGTCATTTTTATGAATTAAGTTATTTTGTCTTGTAGAGTATATATAAACATCTGTTTTGTGAAATAGCTTACTCAGGACAGTACTAAATTTAAAAAAGAAATTGCATGCCATTTTCATGATGCCTTGTGCAAGAGGTACAGTATATAAACTTATGAGCAAAACTGGATCTACCTTTTGGAGCATCCTTTATGGTTTTGGAACACATCTATATTGACTTAAAATACTGCCTATTTTGGCACCTCACTCACTTTTGAAAACCCTAAAGTCATTATGAAACCAAAATTGCAATCGACTCTCCTCTATTGTGATGTATATTTGAGTGAAACTGCTTCTTGAACAAGAAAAATTGGAGTGGAGGGAATATTGCCCAGCCCTCGCTCCGATGCACGCAATATCACAGAAGAGATGTAGGTGTGAGGGGGGAGATCATGTTTTTGATTAGAGATCATAATGTGCATGGATAAAAAAATTATTAATTCAATATTCCGTTTAAAAATATAAATCGTCCATTAAGATTTCATAGTTGATTTTCACACGTCAAATAAAAAAGGGATAAGAAACTGGCAATACCCGCTCGAATATCATCGTCCTCTGCGGCGTGTGAGTACACCAGGAACAGCAGTGCTGGGAAAGACTTCAGAATCCACGACATTCCCAACCGAAATTCCAGTCCTTTCCCTAAAACGTCAATCTTCAGATCCCTGTTAAATGAAGAACATTGAAATGTGTTAATTTTGGATGCAGAGCAACACTGCAATCTATAATTATCCTAAACAATTAAGAATCAGTTTGCTTACATAATTACTTAAAGATGACTGTTTCATTTGATTATACCTCTGATGTTACACACTCACTTAAGCTAATCAGATCAGTGCACAGTTGTCCACAGGGATGTTGAGATGGTTTCGCAGAAACAATCAAGTAATTACTTCTGAAATTAAGCTTTTAATGCAGAATAATGGAAAGGCCTATTGCATTGCATCATTATATTAGGAGATGGTTGTCCCATGTTCCTAAAGCCAACCTAGCTACGTTCCGTAACTAATGACTTCTGTATGATGTAGAAAAAGTAAGAAAAATCGAGTATAATATTTGAGTGCAGCAACCATCTAGCAATGCAACATCTTGCAGGTCACTTTTGCACCACTCATATTTTATTAACATTTTTAAAATGTAAACCAAAACCCTACCCAAACTTTTACATTCCTCTATAAAAGATATATTCCTCCTGCAAGATTTATACATCAACCAGACACACCCTAAATAATATGCATAAATGTATATAAATAAAACAACATGTGTCAGGCTATTTTGTTAGAGTTTCATTGCCCAAGCAACAGGCCCTCTATAACTTTACAGACTACGACAATTCCCTTTTATTCAATCATATAAAAGTCTCATTGGTAAGAGGGCTGTTTTGCTTGGTACCAAATGACATGTGGTCTTATTTTCTCGCTTTGCTTCAGTGATGTCTACAAGTTCTCATTTAGCATAAAACACTGCCCAACAGACCACAGGCTGCAGTGAAGAAAATAACAGCGTAAGCAAAAAAAGCTGGTGAACACAACATGGAAATAAACATGGCATGCGGCCGTGTACAGGATTACGAGAAAATACCCGACATTACACGCAAACATGTACTTACAGAAAACACTTTATAATAATTTTGTGCAAAAAGTACCATAGTGTAAAGAGTACAACATGGCATGTTGGGATTAGATTTAATTGCATGTTAGAATATGTCAAACAGCCAGTCTTTCAAAACACACATTGCACAAAATGTTTGTCTACTTTACAAGGGTTTTTCTGAGGTAAAGCACGCTTGACCAAGGTGATGGCATTCCTGAATTTTGGCACGTGAGTGTGATCATATATATGATATATATTGATATTATACAACATTTCAACAAAAGTTAATATTGTGTGAGCTACATTTTAAACTCAATACTGTCTGTTTCTTTCTGTTGCGCCAACGAAAATAGTTCCAAACAAAGCCGGAGCAGAACATTTGTGCATCTCAGAGGAGCACTGCGGTGTTTCTTTCCTGAATGAATCTGTTTTTGAACGAATCATTTGAGTCAATGATTCAATGATCCATTCATAAATACAGAGCATGTCCAAATACTCACACATGCAGTCTTGGCCACTTGAGAGAATGTGCACGCCACAGGAAGTAAGTGCACTAGACTGTGCCAGGTCTTAAAACACAAAGCGCAGTGCCCTTAATGCACACTACATACTGCTCCGGAGCACTGGCTATCCCATCATGCATCATGTTCTGGAAATAAATCGTGAGACTTTTTGCTGTGATCCCACGAGAGGTTGTGGAAACCTTTCCAGTGTAAGTTAAATATTAATAATAATTAGATATTACATGTAATTTGGTAGTAAAACAAAGTGTTGCACATTTTATTGGTGCAAAGACTTGCAACTGCTTTTTGTCACTTAATTGGATGTACCACGATTGTTATATTGTGTTATCTGTTATAGGGGCTACTGAACAGACATTTAAATGTTTGTTTTAAGTGTGTCTCATCAGGTAATGAAAAGTTGTACACATCCCTGTGGTCGTCATGCTCACTTGAACACTTGGACCAAATACATGAAATGCATCATGTAAAAAGACAAGTGGTCAAGTGCAAAGATGCAAGTGTGTGTATTTGGACACGCCCACAGTCACCTGCTGCTTCGTTTCTAAATGAATCAGCCATTGTGAAGGAATCATTTCTATGAATGATTCAATGAATCACTCATTAAGACAGGAACTTACCTACTGGCAGTTTAATGTCGTATTTATTTATCAGCAAAATATGAATTACTGTTATCAAAAATTCCACAAAATGTCAAGATATCATCTTTTGTCAATATTGTACATCCCTAATCAATAGTCAAGAATCACAAAAAACACTCCATTTTGAAGCCAGACGATAGTATGTTTACTTCTACCTTTATTCCTAGTATGATAGAGACACAAGCTGTTGAGGACATTTGTCAGGGCATGAGAACGTTTTTTTTGACTGTGGCTTTAATAGCAACAAACATGATGACCCAACAAGCAAAACACAAGACATTCAAAGACATTGAGCATGTGAGGAATGTCAATGCTAAATCTGCCAAATATGTGCTTCTGTGGCAAAATTGTACTGGAATGAAGATTAAATAAAAAAGAAACCAGCAGAAGTCAAGATCTCAAAGTTGATCGCATACAAAATAAAAGTTTTTGTTTGCATAATATATGTGTGTGTTCGGTGTATATTTATTATTTATATATAAATACACACATATACTGTATATATTTTGAAAATATTTAAATGTATTTGCATGTCTATATTTATATTCATATAATTTATATTATAAATAAATATATTTAATATATAAAAATAAGATATTTTTCTGAAGTATATACATGCATGTGTGTATTTATATATACATAATAAATATACCCAGCACACACACTTTTATTTTGTATACGATTTATCGCGATTAATCGTTTGACAGCACTATATATATATATACATACACACACACACACATATATAATTTTATGATTTTATGAACAAAATTTCTCAAGACCAAGGCCAAAATGTACTATTCTTAATATTGTTTTCATAAAAATGTATTGGTGTACTCAGTTAAAGGGATAGATCACCCCAAAACATAAAATGTTCTCTTCATTTACTCATGCTGTTCCAAACCTGTATGACTTTCTATTTTATGTTGAAAAGGAGATCTTTTGAGAAATGGCTTTATTTATCTATCTATCTATCTATCTATCTATCTATCTATCTATCTATCTATCTATCCATACAATTGAAATTAATGGTAACCAAAGTTTTGATCAATGTTTGTGTTCTGCGGGTTTGGCGAGACATGAGGAGGAGTAAATAATGACATGAATTTTAATTTCTTGGTGGACCTTTCCTGTAACCATTGTTTAATACGTTACCTATGTTAATTTTTATTCATGTTTTATATCAGAGCTGTCCAAACTCGGTCCTGGAGGGCCGGTGTCCTGCAGAGTTTAGCTCCAACCCTAATTAAACACACCTGAACCAGCTAATCAAGCTCTTTACTACTGAGCATGGCCGGTGCAATTTTTAGCAAGCAATAAACAAACCGCTTGACCGTAAACTCACTTACCCCAGGGATTACCGCAAACGTATGAACTCAGATGCTTGCGTGCATCCCTGGCTGGCATCTAAGGACGACATCCGGGTAGATATTCCCATTTCAAAAGACTGTCAGAAGCCCTGAAAGCAGGCCATTCAACCTCAACTCGACAACATATAGGAGGGAAGCCACACAAGTGCATCACTAACATACCTTCTCCCTTCATCAACAGCATTGCACCAGCATTCAGTGAAGCTAGAAAGTCATCAAACTGATAGAACAAACAGTGTTGACAATGCAGATTCTTCTAAACGAGAAGCATATTTCAGTAGCAGTATGCATATATGAATAATAGCCTTTCTGCTCTGTGTTTCAGCTAGTTGCATAGTGACAAGAATGCAGAAATAAATGCAGGAATATGTAGGCTTCGGTCAGAAGAGGTTTTAGACATGTTTACTCAGAATATACAAGAAAAGGAACTAAAATAGGTTGAGCTATGTTAAATTACAGATTTTGCGTAAGTACAGGTTTGCTCCCTCCATAAGAATGCACTGCTCTCTGTGCTCTCTTACTTTACAAAACCTGTTCACTGTTTCTGCTATTTTATTATTGGAACATACATTTGATTACACAACAATAATAATAATAATAATAATAATAATAATGCAAGACAAAGGACAGCAATGTTGTGTTAAGGATCTGATCATAATGGATTACCTGCCCTATAGAGGGCGTCTTCTTTGTGTCACTGAATATTTTACACGTAATATAACTTCAGAATAAGTAGATTTTAAATACAGACCTGTAATTAATCAGTAGTATAGTTTTGTATCAATTCAGATAAGTGTATACTCATCAGTAGAGGTCTAAACATTTCATCCATTGTTATTAAGGATGTAGCACTATCTGATCACTTCTGTATTTTCTTTGATATATTGATCTCTGTTACCACTGAATCTAGATCGGTCTCAGTCAGAAAGAGATGCATTAACGAAAACACTAGTGTGCTATTTATGGAGGCTATATCTTTAACACCAAGCATTTCTGCAGACTCTGTTGATCTTCTCCTTGATTCCTTTAACTCAAAAGTTAAGAATGTTATTGATGACATTGCTCCTTTGAAAGTCAGCAGGAAGACTGGCAGACAGAAATCAGCTTGGAGAAAATCAACAGCAGTTCAGAGTATGAAAAGACAATGCAGAAAAGCTGAGCGGATGTGGCGGAAGACGAAACTTGAAATTCACTATAGCATATATAAAGACAGCCTTCGTACTTTCAATGTGGAACTAGGCAAAGCTAGACAGTCATTCTTCTCAAACCTTATAAACAGTAACTTAAACAACACTCGCACTCTTTTTGCTACTGTTGAGAGACTGACAAACCCCCCAAATCAGATTGCCAGTGAAATGCTCTCCGACAGCAAATGCAATGAGTTTGCTTCCTTCTTTTCTGAGAAGATCAATAATATCAGGAAGGCGATTAGCACATCCCCAAGTTACGCAGAGGTTAGACATATTCGACCACAATATCAAAAAGAAGATA